CTGGAGTGGTTTGCCATTTCCTTCTCCAGCTCATCTGGTGGATGAGGAAACTAAGTAACTTGTCCAGGGTCACCCAGCCAGTAAGTGTCTGAGGCCAGATTTGAACTCACGAACACAAGTCTTCCTGATTCCAAGCCCAGGCTCTATCCTAGCTGCCTATAGTGCAGGTCTGACCATGTCCCCCACCTCTCCTCTCCTTCAATGTCAATGGCTCCCTCTCAACTTCTGCATCAAATATAAAATTCTCTGCTTTCCTTTTAAAGCCCTTCACTAACTGGCCCCTTCCTACCCTTCTAGTCTGCAACACATAACAAATAAGGAGAACAGCAATTCCAGTGGTTTCCTTTCAGTATTGAAGGATGTCTAGGTAGACCCTGGATCCCCTGTGGAGATCTTGTGGGAGGACATGAATAGGAGCTGCACCAATTTGCATCACTGGAGGGAATGTCCCAATTGTTGAGATCCCACCTTAGTCAATAAACATTTATTAAGCATCTACTAAGTGCTAGGCACTGTGCTAAGGTCCATGGGAGTAGAAGATTTGAATCATATGGGAAAGGGACCCAACTTGTACTTTCCAGCCCCTAAAAGCAGAACCAGGAGCCACCAGTGGAAATTGCTAAGAGACAGATTTAGGATGAATGTCAGGAAAATCTATCCAGCAAGAGGACCTGCCCAGGAGTGGAAGGGACTACGTCAAGAGGGCACAGGATCATTGACCTTGAACTAAAAGGGACCCCAGAGACCATGTAGTCCAACCCCTTCATTTTATGGATGAGGAAACTGAGAGATCATGTGACTTGCCCAAGGTCACTAGGCTAGTAAATGATACAGCTAGAATATGAACTTGGGTCTTCTTGATTCCAAGGTTTATGTAGTGCACTTCAAGAGAATGGATGACTACCTGTTGGATAGGCTTAGGCTGGCTCTTGGTCAGGTCTAAGCGGTGCCTGCTGAGGTCCCTTCCAAGGCTGAGAGTCCAAGCTTCTGGTGGGTGGGAGGTGCTGGTGGGAGAAGTCCTGGCTTCTAGCCAGCACCACACTTAGGCTCCAGCAAGGTGAACAGAAGGGGATTCTTGTATTGATGGCTTCACGCCACCCCCTGGTGGTCATATATGGGGACTACACTGCCTGTAGTCTCTCTGCAAGAGTTTCAGACTGAACCATACAGATGGCTGGAGTTCTCACATTGGAAGGGGACAAGGATTTCTCTGGATGGTGGGCTTCCTGGTGTCCAGAAGGGGGGATGTGAGGGTCCTACTGAGACACTATTTGAAGGATTCAGTTCAGATCAGGGAAACCCATGATAGAAAGAGCATTGTTTGGAGTCAGATGACCTGGGTGTGACAGCTGCCTCTCTGCCACTTACCAGTTGTGTGATTTTGGGCAGAACACTTCATCTTCTGGGGGGGGGGTCTGTTTTCTCACCTGTAAAATGGGGGGGTTGCAGCAGATAACTTCTAAGACCCCTTCCAATAGTAATGAGAATGATAATAATAGTATTTCTGTAGCACTTTAAGGTCTTCAAAGTTCTTTAGATATGCTTTCTCCTTCAGTCCTCACAAGAACCCTATGAGGCAGGTGCTATTATTATCCCCATTTTGCAGATGAGGAAACTGAAATGTCTTGCACAGATAGGGTCATGCAGCTAGCGTTCGATTTGAACTTGTCTAACCTTTTTCCAAGTCTCATCCTCTATCTACTGGGCCGTACTTATGGATTTTAAAAGGCAGAGATGAGGAGGGAAGACCTTCTAGGCAAAGAGTAGTATATCTAGGCTGTGCAGAAATCTGGAGGTGGGTGATGGAATGGCACGTGTGAAGGACAGCAAAAGATCAACTTTGTTGACGTTAGAGTGCACAAAAGGGAGCTTTTATATTTAATTCTAGAGGCAATAGGGAGACATAGCATCTTAGGCAAGGGTATGGCTTGGTGAGACCTGCTCTTTAGGAGTAGCATGGAAATATGGATTGGAAAGGGGAGAGACTTGAGGAAGATTTGCTGCCATGAAAGCAAGAGATGATGAAAGCCTGGCCCTTGGACTGAGGCACTGTGGTATAGTGGATAGAATACGGGACTTGGAGTCAGGCAAACCTGTTCACCAGCTGTGTGATTCCGAACAAGGCACAAGCCTTAGTTTCTTCATTTTAAAAAAAAAATTTTTTTAAAGGCAATTGGGGTTAAGTGACTTGCCCAGGGTCACACAGCTACTAAGTGTCATGTGTTTGGTCTGAGGCTGGATTTGAACTCAGGTCCTCCTGACTCCAGGGCCAGTGCTCTATCCACTGCACCACCTAGCTGCCCCAAAAGTCTTGTTTTTGTTTTAGAACAGGGGAGACTCAGCTGTATTTATAGACAGCAGAGAAGGAGCTGGTAGCCAGTGACGATAAAAGGAGGAAGGAGGGTAAAGGAGGTGGAGAAAAAGGTCAGAGAGATAGGAAGCAAAAGAAGGAGAGGGAAAAAAGGATGATTGTGGGGTTGGAGAAAGGAGAGGATGGGATCAAGAAAACAAGGTTTGCCTTAATGAGAAGGGTCACTTCTCCCCTTTCCATCAGATTCCATCAAGAGGTCTGCCCCTTCAGTCTCTGTTTCTGGCCTTTGCTCTATCCCCATTTCTCCTCTGGTGGAGGTGGGATTAGATGATGTCTGAGTTCTCTCAACTCAGGAGATCCCTGGCAATGGGACAGCCCTGCCACCCTGTGGGCAGAAACAAGACTGCAGGCAGACCACGGCTCCTTTCCGGAGCTCCAGCACCCAGCTGCCATCATGCCTCCTCTGCCCTGTTAGATATCCAAGCATTTAGATTCCTGGGGTCAGAGATTTAGAGCCCTACTTCTTTAAGTGTTTAAGGCTGCTGGTGGTAAAGGGAAGCTACTCATTTCTGGATTCCTAGTATCTTAGGATGCAGAACCTTTCAGTTATCTCTTTATAAATCTGCAGCCATCTCCATGAGACCTACCCCACTACTCTGGGGGAGCAAGGAGTGAGTTGTTTTGGGTCAGGGACTTTCCAGGGTTGTGGTGAGGACCAAAGGAGATGATGTGTTTAACGTCCCAGCTCCTAGGACTGATGTGGGATAGTGATTTTTTGGTTGTCTTTCCAGTCATTAGATTTAGAGTGGGGAACTCTTGGTGTGGAAACTCCCTTCACCACATAACCCTCTTAACTTATGCCCTTAGTTGCTCAGGGCACAGGGAAGGGACCTGCCCACTGTGTGTCTGACATGGGTCTTGAAATGACGTCTTCCTAGTTTCAAGTTGGAGCCTCTATTTTCTACAACCATGATACCCCGGGAAAGACCACCTTTTCAAGGAATTCGAGTTACAGGCAACCCGGAATGAAATGGAGAGGGACACAGTAAGAACACACAGTAGGCTTCTTCTGTTACAAAGGAGGTATTGCTGTGCCACAGGAAGAGATAAGGGTGGGCTGGCCAGTCCCCTGGTGAGGGAATGACAAATGGCTAACAGTCCCTTTGGCATCGACAAAAAGGTCAGATCAACTGCAAGAAGGCTCCCGCTATGTAGAGAGTGACCCCTGTGGAGGATCTTTGTGAGGATGTGGACCACAGTGGCAGATCGAGTAGGCAAGAATGGGCTGGGATCTCTCCAAGAAGTCTTTTATTTACTGTAGCATAAAATACAGACTCCAGCACCAAATAAACCCTGTTTTGTGCATCCTGGGAAGACTACCACTTTTTTTGTCTTCTCTGGAGAGATCCTTAAAAATTCCCACCGTAGGGGGAAACCCCACCCCCTCCAGTCCTGATCTCGTTTGCCCACCCTGCCCCCTAGGTCTGTGCAGCCTAGCCTTGCTAAAGAGGTATTATAGGACTGAATTAAGCATCAAAGCATTACCATTTTTCAAAATTAGGCCAGGCTTAAATAACACCAACCAGTAGCTAAAAGTGGAATAATTTTGCCCTTTCCACTAAAGCATCTGCTTTTCAGGAAAGCTTGATATCCTGTTCCAGAAGTGGATGGAACAGCAATAATGTGGGTGTGGAGAGGCAAGCAATCTTCTTGTGCTTAGTCTACAAGAGTTGATTCTGGAGATTATCAGCTCTCTGGTTCAGGCAGAAGGGGCAGAGGGACACGACGGAGGTGTATGAATGCTGTATCTCTTCCCCCTGGTCAGCAACACAGAACCGGAATCGTTTTTGGATCAAGACTGACCAACATCTTCCCGCCTATATGCAGCCTCAAGGGGAGCTTCTGATAGCGTATTAGGGCAAGTCTTTGGAGCAGTTTGAATAGGTAGCAACATTTCTCTGATACATCTTGACTTTGTTATTTCCAGTTTATCCTGTATATATCTTGTCTGTACATGGTTTACATGTATTCCCCATTAGACTGCGAGCCCCTGGAGAGCAGAGACCGTTTTGTTTTTTTTTTAAACCGTTCTTTGTATCCCCAGTGCTAAAAAGGCACACAAGCCTTCTAAGTCAATGGTGAGTTCAGCACCTTGGACCCTTGCATCGGTGTCCAGGCAGAGATGTCTCTCCATGCCCTAGGCAGCACCATAGTGCAAACACACACATTCACGTGCTCCCTCTCAGGTACATAAAAGATACATCTCTCCTTCTTCTCTACCCGGGATTGGTCCAGGGCTCTTGGTACCATAGGTACATGTCTCAAAACAGTACAGAGGATGGAGTCTTTCCAATAGTGTACTAGTACAGACCCACAAAACTCAAACCCCACCCCTGCTGTCACCTGAAATTGAGTGACAGTGAGAATTCCTGGACCCCAAATAGAAAGGTCCTGCATTAACTGGGCTTCTGGGTGGGGGTAGCCGGCACCCCAAGGCAGCTTGCAACTTTCTTTTTCTGGTTTCATTTTTTACAAGATTCATTTATTAACTATGATACATGTCACATAAGGCCTGTTCAGTTTTTACACCATTCCCATTGAGACAAGTACAATACTTTGTAGCAAATACATGATTTCAAAACAAAACAAAAAACCAGAACTGGAAAAAAAAATCCCTCAGCTGGAGATGTCTCAGTTGCAAAGCATTTATAGCTGACCATGCACTAATTGCTTTGAGGTCTGAAAAAAACATGGTGTAAAAAATTTCTTTGGGGGTAGGGAGCAGCAAACATTCCTAACACCACTAACTAAGGGTTGTACTGGGTAACATCCCTAACAATACAAAGAAATAACCGGGATACTTTTCTTTACATACAGTTCTCCATGTTTGCTGAGACATTGAATTCTGGGCACACACCTCGACTAACACATTTTAATACCATTTAGTATGCTTGTGTTTTCTTGCGAAAACTCAAAATGTGTTAATTCGACACATATAAAGATCATTTAACATGTGAAAAATACTAGTACCAGAAAAATAAGTTGGCGGCAGCACTATTCCAAAGGTTCAAACAAGTTTTATTCCCATACAATCTTGTGACAGATTTTTTTTTTTAAATGTACACAGGGAAGTTTGAAGATTTTCTTTTCTTTACGGAAAACAATAACTTAGGCCGTCTTGACTACATTGAATGGGAAACATCTTTGCCCAATATGAGGGGAGGGGGAGTGGCAACAGGGGCATGGACCAGGGGGCAGTGATCACACCTGGGACCTTTGGGCTACAGGCAGCACGTTTGTGACTAAAAATGGGGGATGAGGACAAAGAAAAGATGGCTTCAGCTCGAGAAAATAATGGTAAGAGGCACCAGAAGGGAAGACCCTCAACCACCAAGAGGCAGAACAACATCTATCTCCTCCCTCCTTCATCCTTTTTCACAAAACAATTCAAAAGGCAATCTTTTTGGACATGATTTTGAAGAGGATTCTGGAATTACATTTTGGGAAGTGCCCATCTCTGTTTAAAGAATATATGAGCAATGAAAAGCTTGCAAACGCTGATGAAGAGACCCCTGGCCCTAGAATCCTTATGGACAGTGAGAAATTTAGGCTAAATGGCCTCGAAGGCTCCTTCTAAGTTCATGATCCTACGGTCGGCTTCCCAAGAACAAAATCACCTCCATTTTGGCCTCCATGAAAGACAGGCAGCAAGGGCCTGGATGACCAAGCCCAAAATCTGAGGGAAGGGAAAAGTGTACAATCCACCTAGTTAGTTAATAAGAACCATGCCAACATGTGATAATAGCAAAGTGACCATTAAGTCACCTAAGCCAAACTCCCACAGGGAATACAAGGTGTGTGTGGGGGGGGGGGGGGGGGGGGGGGGGTGGGGGGAGGAGGTTGGGTCATCATGGGTCCTTCCTGGGTCACTGAATCCACTGCTGGATGTTAGATGCCACACGTGCATGACCTGGGCAAGCCCTGTAGCCCCACTGAGCCTCAGTTTCCCTATTTGTAAAAGGAGAGTTGGACTAGACAGTCTCTAAGGTACCTTCCAGCTCTAATAGTCTATGATTCTAGGTAGTGAAAAAAAGCACTGACGAGTCAGACCAGGGTTCTAGCCCTGGGTCTATCACCAGGAAGTTGTTGGACCTTGGGAAAGTCCCTTGACTCCTCCAAGACTTATTTCCTTATGTGTAAGAGGAGAGTGATCATGCTTGGCATGGTCTGCCCCAGCCACTGGGAGGGTTAGGCATGGCAGGGACAGCCAGGGGACTACAAGCCACAGGAAGTTCAGAGGTGTGGCTGACTTCCCTGGCCAGATGGGAGGCCTTACACTGGCCCCCAATCCTCCATCTTCCCTGGTGGCAGGCCACTCTACCCAGCCTGGGGCCTTGGTTGCCAGGGTCCTTCTCTGAGGACAAGGGAAACAAACAAAAAAAAAAAAAACTCGCCGCCATCCGGCTAGGGGGAAAACCTAGGCACCGGCTCGTCTTTTTACAGTTCTCCAAAGCCACTCCCTTGTGTCGGGGCAAATGGTTTTTAGTTCTAAGATTTAGTCCCAGGTCCACTTGGGTCAGTATTGTTTGGATTCTTTCCCAAAGGAGGTTGATGCTGCCCAGACATGGAGTCAGAGGGAAGGGGATGTTGCTTGAGGCTCTGGGGGCAGGCTGCCTAGCCTTGCCTTCTCTGCCCCCACCTCCACTTCAGAGAGATGCTGGGAACGAATCCCTCCTCGAGTCAGATCAAAGAGCGTGGCTCTATTTGTCTGAAGGAGGACAGACGACTGGGATGGTGATGACTGGTCTTACCTCAATTCCCCAGGCCACCCGTGGAAGGTTAAGTGGCACCAATGGAAACTGTATCTGCAAAATCCTGAGACTGACTGGTGGCAGATCTCAGGTGGACAGTCACCCTCTTGGGATGATGGATGGTACAATGTGAACTGGACGGGGCTGGAGGTGAGCGGTGAAGGAAGACTGCCCTGACTCCGGCAGGAACACCCTGGGAGGGGAGGGAAAGGCCCCAGCCCCTCTCTCTTCCTGGTGGTTGCCCCTCCTCATCCACCCTCCCCCTGACAGCCACACCTCCTCAAAGCCCAGAGAGAAGCTGGCCCATTGCGGTGACCTTCGGTTTTGCAGGAGCAGCGGATGAAGGCACAGAGATAACACAGGACAGTGGCATAGAAGAGGGGCAGGGGATGAGGGAAAGCAGGGCCCTTCACCTGCTGTGCAGCAGACAGGCAGGCTGAGGTTCTTCCCAGAGACAACACCGCCCTCCACTACTGACAGGAATGCACATGCACATCTGATGCATCCATTTTCTTAAGAAATAAGGCTACAGAACTCGAGGATATGCTGCTTCCACGCCCCTTGTGCCACAGGTGGATGTTAATACAGCTTGTTGATCAATAAACGTTGATTTATGAAGACTCCAGCTTACCCAGGGGATGAATTCATGTGGGAGGAAGCCCCCTCTCCCCCCCACCCCCATCTGCTCTAGAGGCTCCACAGAGCCTGGCTTCGTAAAGTGCAAAGAGGAACACAAGGATTGGGCAGCTGTCCCTTTCCCTGCTCTGCCCCTCGCCAGTACCAGACTGCCCAGTTCACATCGACGCTGCTGGGGAAGAAGGGATGCCAGAGGCCAGCTGGAGGGACCGTGGGGACCAGATCCAAAGACAGAGGGGTGGGGGCAGATGGATACACATAGCAGCCTAGCAGGGTGGGGGGGGGGGGGTGTAACAGGCATCCATCCTTTTACTCTCCAGAAGGGGTTAGGGAGAGGCTGGGGGCAGGTATTTTTTAAACAGGGCTAGCGCACTCAAGGCACCCTGGGAAGGCCACACAGGCTCAAGAGGAGGGTAGGTGTGCTACATGCTATCCCAACCCCCTGGACTGGTTTGCTGGACCCAAGACCCTTCCCATAGCAGGCTTGGGTGTCTAGGTCCCCTGGCTGGCATCAGGGTCATTAGTGTTGAGGATGGTGCAGGAGGCAGCAGCCAGATGGGGTAGCGTGGTACCTTGGTGCTACCTTCCAGGGAAATGGGTGGGGAGTGGAAACCCCCACACTCCAGAAGTCAAGCTAAAAGCAGCCCATCTCTAGCGTAGTGTTTGTGATGTCCAAAGGACTAGTCCTGGGATAGAAAGTCAGAGAAGCCTCACTGCCCAAATGGACCCTTCCCTGCCTCCAGACTGGGGTCTTGGCCACTGGGGCAATGACCCAGCACCTGCGAAGAAAACCTTTCCACCAAAAAAAACTTAAAACCGAACCACAGTGTGCCTGGGGCTCCTCCCCTGGACACCCACACACACTCACACGCTCGCACACGCGCGCGCGCACACACACACACTGTGTCTCGGGAACCACGTGCAATGCTCCCAAGGGAAAGGGAAGCACAAGTCCAGCTCAGGTCCAGCAGGGCTCCTTGGCTCTTCCTGCTAAGTGCTTGTTGCTGAGATGTCCTCAGGAAAGGCGGCAGGGCCATGGGGCCCGAGGACACAGCCCCCGTAGTCTCCATGCTCCTAGGGAACTGCCCCTTAACTCCAGGCCTGCTTCTGCCAGTGTGCACCTGTTTGCCTCCCAGGAGAGCTGGGGAGAGCCAAAAGTTGAGGTCTCTTTTTTTTCCCAGGTGTTCTTAAATTTTTTTTTTCCAGTGTTCTTTGTTCCGAAGGCAGTTTACTGCCAACAGACGAGGGAACCAGTGAAGTCAGAGAAATTCGCGTGGCCTTTTTTCTCTGCCCAGGCACAAAGATTCCTGCCCATTGTCCAGACTGGCCGGGTTCTCGCTGTCAGAACCCGGGGATTCCAGCAAGACCACACTTACCTACGGTAGGGGTATGAACGTGGGGTTGGGGGAGAAAAAAAGGGTAAAAAGGAAGTTGTTCTCAGGGGTCTCAGGCTTTGCCCAGGGACAAGCCCAGACAGTTCTGTACAAGTTGTCAGGCTGAGCACCCCAGGAACTGGCCTGCTGATAGCTGATCAACACTGACCACTGCTGGGGGTTCCCTCTGAGCCAAAGAAAGGGCATCAGCATGATGTCAAAGGTCAGTCCAGCCCCCCCGCACAGGTGTCTTGACTGGCTCCCGACCAGCACACTGCCATCCTGGCCGAGCTCGGCAAGATGGGGAGAGGAGAGAAATCGCCCCCTCCTCCCTGGAGGCTGGGCCTTGGTTTTGCTCCACTGCCCAACTCTCCTCCACCCCAGAGAGAAGCCCAGATCCGCTGTCCCCCAGCAGCCAGCTCTTCACAGAGTGTGCTCCGCCTGAAGCTGGGGTGGGAGTGGCGGCTGCATTGGGGACTGGGGAGTGGGAGGAGGCGACTGGGGAGGGGATGGCTGACTCATGATGGGTGTGGATGTGAGGAAGGGGATGGAGGGAGCAACTGAGGAGGGGGAGCTGGGCGTGGCCCCGGCAGGTTCGCCAATGGGCCGATTGTAGAAAAAGAAGGGGCACTGCTGGATGAAGAGTTCAATGATTGTCTGATAGGTCCGTGTGGCCGTGAGGGCGTCCATGGTGCTAAAGTCCGGTCTCATCAAGGTGGGCCAGAAGCAGATGGACAAGTTTTCACTTGTCATGAGATTCACCTTGTTGTTGTGACTGACCCTGCAAAGGATACAAAGCTGTGGTCAGTACTTCTTGCTGGTAACAAAATGCAACACTTGGAGAAAAATGACCCATTCCTTATCCCTGAGGAAACCCAGACCTCGCTGCATCCTCAGTCCTGGAAGATGCCCGTCCCATGTCAGGGAGGCAGCCTGATGAGCTGGAGGAAGCCCTGGCCCCAGATGGGAGGGACTTCCGGGCTGGACACTAACCCCGACCATGTCACTGAGGGGCTTCCTCTCTCCAGGGAGGCCTCCGCTGGACTGGCCCTCAGTTTCCTCGTCCGCCTCCTTCCTTCACAGAGCTGGACACAGACGTGAACCCAAGTATTACCGGGTATGTTTCCTGGTTTGGGGCAGGGGCGTGGCACTGAAGAGGAGGGAGAGACTTCAAGCCGGCCCCATGGAAACAGAGATCTACTCCAACACAGTCACCTGACAGGTGAGGAAACTGGGGGGTAGGGGCAATCAGAGGCCCAGTGAACCTCGTTTAAATGGCAGAGCTGGGATGGGGCCTTAGCAGCCGGAGTCCCAGGGCAGAGCCTCCTCAGACAGGGCTGCGTGGGGGAAGGCCTAGAAGGGTGTGGCTGAACTCAGTGTGTGGCGTGGCTTTGTGTTCCGATCCTGCAGACTGACATGGCCATCTTTGAAATGCGATATAAATGTGGGTGACTTGTCATGGATAGATGGTATGTGGAGGGGCGCTGTGAGAGCAGCCACTGATCTCCTTTCAGGAGTGGACGGCTTAGTCCAGGGCGTTTGGGAGCCCGTGGGCAGCAGTACAACTTAAGGGAAAGCACACTGGCCTGGGTGACTCTGTTACGTACCAACGGCGTAATGCTGGGCAAACCCTGGCGGCTCTGGGCATTGGCCATCTCGGTCATAAGAAGGGGAGGCCGGGCACGATGACCACTAAGGTCCTTCCTCGTGGCTCCAAATTCGAGGATTTTCAGAGAAAACTCTTAGGCTTTACAACCCACTTAATTATAGAATTCTCTCGAAGGTGCTCTTTCTCCCCCTCCTTCCCTACAAAGTTACTTAAAACTTAGGCAAGCGGAGGGAAGGCAGGGGGCAGCCACGCACACAGACTGGGCGGGTGTTAGCGGCAGGAAAGGGAGCTGCCCCCGGCCCTCCTCAGGACACAGGACTAGCCCACCAGAACCCCACAGAGTGCTTGGCCACACAGGGCTGGTGCCCTGAGGGTGAAGTCTTTCTGTTGGCTCGACCATCTCTCTCCATGCATACCCTACAGGGTTCAGTCCAAAGGGGTGGGAAGAGATGAGACACGGCTGCAAAGACGGTGGCCTTGAGAGACAGTGTAGAGCAGACACTGGTCACACTGAGGGGACTGATGGAGGGGCCATCAGAAAGACCCCCACGGTCCATGGAGGAGGCAATACATTCCCAGTGGGATGCCACGTTGTGTCCCTCCCTCACAGCACCTGACAGGTCTCACTTGGAAGGATTCCTTGATTCAGAGGAACTGGGCATAGTCGGTCCCTGCAGACAGTGACGGACGGGGTAGAAACAAGCTGTGCACATGGAGGGGACCCAGGGAATGATCTCTCTCATTGTCACACCTGCCTGGGAACGTGGGGACAGGAGGCAGCAAAGCCCTGGGTTTGGGTCTGGCTGGACGATCACAGACAGGGAGGTCTTTTAAACCCTAAGGCTTGGTTTCCTCATCTGTAAAATGGGGAGAACGATGCTCCCACTGCCTCTAACTCACGTGATGCTGCCACCCCCTGCTCTCCTGGCTCTGGCGCTAAGTCTTCCCAGCTCCAAGCAGCTCTGAACTCTGCTGCTGGGCTGACAAGGGAGCCAGACTTGGAGTCTGGACTGGTGACGAATGGTGAATGGCGGTGGCAATAACAAGAGAACGTGCTCGTCTCCTGGAAGGTAATAAAGAACACCTCAAAACTGTCAAACTGGAAGGTACCAGAAATACTTTCAGTGATTCACATGGGTAGGAAGACATGAGTTCAAATCCAACCTCAGACACTTACTAGCTAGGTGATCCTGGGCAGGTCACTTATCACCGCCTGCCTCAATTTCTTCAACTATAAACTGGGGATAACAGCAGCACCCACCTCCCGGGTGGTTGTAAGGATCCAACGACATGATATTGGTAAAGCATTTAGCGTGGTAAACTTAGCCCAGTACACAGGAGGCACTTAATTCATGTTCCTTTTGCCCGCTTTCAGAATGAACCTAGAAAGCACTACAAAGAATTAGGAAATCCTGGACAACAGACTGGAAACCCTGTGTGATATTTTCAACTAACTGCTACCGGCTGAAGGCAAGGGCTGCAGAAAGAAAGGCAGGTTCAGGAGAGGTGAAGATCACAGAGTGCTTCAGCTTCACAAAGATCATCTCATCTGACCCACATGACAACCCCAAGGCGTGGGTGTTGTCATCGTCCCTTTTTACAGATGAGAAAACTGAGGCAGACAGGTAAGGTGACTGGATTTGAATTTGGGTCATCTTGACTCCTGGTCCAGGACTCTATCCACTGCTCCACCTAGTAAATGGCTAACTTAAAGAAGTCAGTATCTCCAAAAGTCCCTGTCTATGGGCCTGAAATACAAGAACGACGAGCAAGCAGTCCTCACAAAGACTAAGAGGCACCTAACTAGACTGAAAAGCGAGAGGAAGGGTCAAGCACAAGCCACACCGAGCTGGCCGCCACAGAGAGAGCCACACGGAGGAAGAAAGCCCAGAACCCTGTCTGTCCGTCCACAAGATCATGAGAGACCCAGTGCAAAGAAGGCTGGTACCCTCGGTGTCAAGGCCTCAGGGGGGTGGGAGAAAGGAGCCCTTCCATCCAGAGACCCCGGGGGATGGGGAAGGAGCACACAGGCACGAGCAGGAAACAGTCTCTGCACTGGGAGAGTGCACGGAGCCCAGGGCAGGCACGGCGGTCACGTGATCCTGCAGGAGCACCAGCAAGGGTGACGGGCACTTTGGACCCCATTCTCAAGAGCAAGGAGGAATGATGGGTGGGGGGAGGAGCGATCAGTCTGTGAGGGAGAGAGAGACGAAAGCCGGTCACAGACTGAGTTGCACTCTAAATTTCAGAAACGAGATTTCAAAGGGATAAGTCTTATTCTAGGGTGCAGCCTCTTGACCGAGTCCAACGTTTACAGAACAAATCCTTTCACTAAAGGGATTTGTTCTGTGAAGTCAGAGACCTAGAGGGCCACATGTGGCCTGGAGGCCACAGATTCCCCAGCCCTGGAATAAGAGAAAGGACAGGTAGGATCCCACGACCAAGGAGGAATGGAGAGCTCTCACAGTGAGACTCCAAAGCCAGTGGAATGATTCTCAAGATGGGGAGCTCACTGACTAACTTCCAGATGACAGAGATTAGACGACCCCATGGAAGCAGAGACAGCCCAAAGTGTCCAGCTGCTCGGGATGAGGCCCACACAAAAGGAAGGTCCTGGAAGCCCTCTGAAACCCCAGGGGCTGAAACAGGGGCCACTGCCTGTGGTCTTCAAAGACCAAGGAGGATGGGAAAAGTACAAAAGACGAGCAGAGAACAAAGGCTGTCTCAATAACAGAACAGAATCGGCAAAGGAGAGGTGACTAAAATTGACTTTGAGTCCTTGAGATACTCTAGAACGGTCTAGACTTGAAGGGTTGCAGAGCGACTACCTAGAAAAGGGAGCAGAGGTCACTCCAAGCCTGCACCACTTCGTCAAGCACAGGCCACACTCGGCTAACCTAATTCCTGCAGATCTAACTTGAGGAGAGCACTGGACAGAATCTCTCCTGGGAGCCTTTTTGTCAGTAAGCATAAGGTAGGGAGAGTCAGTCCTTGCTGACTGGTTGGAACAGAGAGAACTTCTTGATGGTTCTAATACCCTGTTTGGCACTGCTCTGTTTAATATTCTCAATGACTCAGATGAAAACACAGATGATATGGTTATTAAATATGCACGACACAAAGCCAGGAGGGACAGGCCAAGATCTCCAAGCCACTTGATAGCCACGTCATCAGGCCAAATTGAGGGTGATGAAATCTAACAGATACAAATGTAAAGTCGTCTACTTGGATTAAAAAAATCAACTTCATAGGAAGCTGGTGGAAGGAACAACGGCTTGACAAGGTGTTTGAAAAGCTGTGGAGGTCTGAGTGGACTACAAGCTCAGGGAGGCAGCAGGGAACAAGTCAGCCAGCAGTGGACAGGATCTCTGGCTGTACTGAAACATCAAGTGTTCAGGCTGGCACCATGACCACGCTGCCGTCCTGTGACTTGGCGAGACCACGGATGTGGAGAAGCACATTCAGTTCTCTGGCTGTTTTAGGAAGGTTACCGGTATGCGGCTGAGCATCCAGAGGTCAGTCAAGAGAACGGCACAGGCCCTTGAGAGAATGCCGTATGAGGAATGTCTGAAAAAAACTGAGCACATCTGACCTGAAGAGAATCAAGGCGCTCAGGTCAGGCTTCAAGGATCTGAAGGCTGGGCCTGCTCAGCCCTGGAGAACAGCGGGTGAGTTTTGTGGAGAAGCCATCTAAGACGGCCACAGGGGCACAGAAAGTTCTCCACCAGGAGGTGTGTTCAAGCCCCCTGTGAACCATCACTTGCTGGGTGGGTTATGGAAAGGATTTCTCATCAGCAGAGGGTCCCTTCTAACTCTGACACACGTCCCTACACTGCAATCCCCTCTACAACATTCAGGTACCATTTTCAAACCTTCAGGCAAGGGGGATCTGCACACGCTGCTGAGGGCGAGCCTGTAACCTACCTGCATGTTGGTGGACAGCTGGAATCCTGTCCACTCAGGTGTGCAGGCCAGGATCGACGTCAATCAGAAGAAGCCAGCTGGGCCTAGAAAGCCTGACCGTGGGCAAGCCCCATTCTGAATCACGGAGGTGGGCAAGTCTCTCAACACTGGGGCAAAGTCAGCTCTGGACCACTGAGACACAGAGCACACCTTCACCCCCAGCCTGGGATTAGAATTCTTCTTCTGATAGACCCAAATTGCCTGGGAGCCAGCCGGCATCACGTAACAGAAAGCGTGCTGAGCTAAGGGGGTCAGGAGCCCCAGGGCTGTGTCCTGGGCCCAACACTTGCTCTCTGTGATCAAGGAGAGTCACTTTACCTTTGCGCCTCAGTGTTTTCTTCCATAAAATCTGGAAAGTGACATTTCCAATACCTACCTCACTGGATATATATATAAGGGAAGCATTCTGTGGAATCAGAAAACCCCTCCATTCCAAGGTCCAAGGAAGAAGAGTGTTAACAAAGCAGTACGGTGGGTTGACAAGCACTGAGGTGGGGGCCTGACTGAAATATTTTTCAAAAACTATAGAAATAAAGCTTTGCACAAAACATTTTGAGTGGGGAAGAACCAGATGAAGAGAACCATCGACATACTTGTTTAGGTGAGAGATGACGTATTTGAAGACCTCATGGTTCTCCTTAGGGAATTTTTTTAGCACCTCCTTCAGAGCGTGTAACTTCTGTTCCCGGTCGTTGATTTCTGCCAAAGCAAAAGGAGCCAAGGTGAAGAAATGGTATCAATGGCAGAGGCCCGCAGAGCCCTCCTCTGCACTGAGACATGGGGCTTGTGTAAACATGAGGGCAGTTAGCAGATGTGCAGATGGGGCTTTGCTAGACTGTTGCTGTTTCTTCTTTAGGAAGAATGCCAGATGCTGGTTTTTTGCTCCCAGATAGACAAACAGAGGCTCTCCCCTCAAATGCCACCCACCTTGTCAGGTGATGGATACAGCGGCCGGTTTCACCTCTGTGTTATGAGCCCTGCCTGTGCCTGAGGGCACTGTGAAAGCCAGCACCATCTGTGGCCGGGGCTGTACAATAAAGAACGATTCAGGAGCTCTACTACAAAGAAAACCTTTCTTCCGTCATCACGTTGCCCTTGGACACATGCATCCCAAGGCAGAGATCGCACTGCCTGTGGCACTAGGTGAGGAAATTCTGGTCCACACATTGGCACAATCTCCACAGGACAGATTAGGGATCCTGGAGGACTGAGAGTGAGAAACATGGGACAGACACAGAGTTCCCTGGCAGGGTGGCTGATGAATTCCTAGAGAGCACATTACAAAGCTGGGCTCCTTCCAGTCACTCTCCTGGAGCACGAGGGCTAGCTAGGCTGAGAAAGGACGGTGGGGCTGGGTACTTCTCAAATATCCAGCCTTACCATCATTTTGGATCTCATGCAGGCCACTAGCTTCTCTTCTCTATCCATTTGGATTTTGGCTCTCGGGGTAATCTAATCATTTTTTAATAAGGGAAGAAGAGTTACTGAAGCAGTACGGTGGGTTGACAAGCACCGAGGCGAGGGCCACAGCACCTGGGTTTTCATTCAGTCCTGCCAATGGTCTGCTGTGGGACTTTAGGCAAGGCACGTTTGGGGCTGAATCCGCTCATTCTGGAAGTGAGGCAGCTAGACTAGCTGTTACGTTCCACTGACATATCTGTTTTTCTAACGTCCCTTTCATCACTCAGATTCGATGGCATAAGGCCCCACCCAGCTCTGACATTCTAACCCTAAAAACTGGTAACGTAAGGTCCTTTCCAGACCTGGTGCTGATTGAAAGTCACCTTTTCAGTTCTAGAAATTGCTCTGATTCCCACACTCAGCAAACATCCATGAAAAGCAGGCTGTGTTATCACAAACGTTTGATGTCCTCCAAGCCCGGCTTGGTACCTAGGCATCCCAAACTCCTTTGATACCGGACAGGGTATACATGGAAAGGGAGCAGAGAGACATGAGGACTGAATTGAGTAGCTCATTTGGCTCCGTGCCCTCCTTGGTTATCGGGAACAGAGAAGAGTCAAGAGCTGGCAGGACACACTGACTAAAGATGAGAAGACTCAGCAATTGGCAGGGACCCAAGAAGTGGTCCAGCTCAGCCCAGATGTGAGCAAGAACCCTTCCTCCACCTTCCTGGTGGTGTGAGTAGTCCTCTCACGGAAGGAAGGAGAACTCACTAGCTTCCCCACCCCTTTCCCACCAAACCTTCTCACCTAAGGAAGCATCCCTACTTTCCTTCCCCATCCTAGCGGCCCCACTCTGGACGCTCTGGCTGTGCCACATCTAAGCCATGCGTTCGGTCAAACAGCTAACCTTTTCGAGCCTCAGTTTTCTCCTCTGTAAAATGGAGGGTTGTAGGAAAAGAGAAGAACTGTTAATTTAGAGAAGATATCACTTCACGCAAAGATGGGATGTGTCAGTCAAAAAGTGTTTCTCAAGTGCATGCGAATCTAGGGGCAGTAAACACTGTGAGTCAGGGAATGATTTGGGAAATGTGTTCAGGGGTGAGTAAACTGAGGGGATGAGGACAAGAGATGAACTGTGGGAATTCAGTGAACCCCACTGAGTCCATGTTATGACTCAGCTCAGTACCCTTTCTACGCCTGCATAGCTGGGAAGTCGGACCCCCCCCTTCCTGCTGCTCAGAGGCCCTTCACGAACCACCTCAGTTATGCTGACCAGAAACCTGGTCAGACTCAAAGACTGATGCAAGGAGTTTTCTCACAACTGTACATCTTAAGTAACCCATATGTCTTATCTGAAAGCTGGTCCCATGCTGGTCAATCAGTTATTGTTTCCATGTTCCTCTGATTGTTCAGGGAGCCTGGGGGAGAGTGTGACCCCTTGTTTTCTGAATTCAGGGAATCCTACCTATTCCCTCTGCCCCTCTCAACTTACAAAGTCCCCAGTCTTTCCTCCAATCAGAAATCAGATTACCTAATTTTGTATCCTGGCTAACTGTTTTCCTTTAATTGAATGGTCTTACTGGATTAATTTTTTTAATGTATAAAAGTCTATCTCCCCCTATATTCAGGGTTCAGCCCTAAGTCGAGGAAGGGGCCTGCTCCTGGTTTCTTAAGCAATTGGCATGCATTACTTAATAAATCGAAATGCTTGGAAGCTCAAATCTTTGCTTCCTCAGTCTTTTCATCTTCCACCCACCACGGAGGACAAAGTCTATCTGTGTGGAGTCTGAGTGCTGGCAGAGGACGCTGGGAAAGCCAGGCTGGGCTCACAGATCTAAGCTCAACTTCTTGTGCTCGGCAGACAACCCAGACTGCCGTCTGAGCCCCGCAGGTGTGCCCCACATACAGTCAGCGGTATGTTGTCTCCACATCAGCCTAAGAGTTACCTGAAGGCACCGGCTGCATTTTTTTGCCTTTGCCAGCACTTAGCCTGGCAAGTAGTAAGTGCTACATAAATGTTTGATGATTAACTTCTGAGCAGGATATAATGAAACTGCCTTTTGAAAAAGATAAATCAAGTAGAAAAATTCAAAATCTATGCCTTACTAAGAGTGAATCACTGTCTTTCTCTCTCGATGAGAAAGAGGCTAACCCTGGCCATGGAGTCTGCGAAATGGTCGCCGGCTATAGAAGCTCCCTCTTCTTTTCTGAAAAGGGAAGATAACCACCTGAAGACAGCGCCTTGTAAAACCCCAGAAATCTCAGTTGCTCCTGCAAACGTAAGATGAACTTGGAGTATTCCTGTCTGTGGCCTTCATTTTTAAACGGCTTCAAGTTCCCTTAACAAAATAAGGGTGTGCCCCTTGCAGACAAGAGCTCAGTGCAGATCCATCCTGAAGCACTGGAGCTGAGGTCAACACAGCTGTGTTCAGGGAAGTGAGGCACACAGGAATGGCAGCACCCACCTTCACAGCACCTCTGGATTCCCCTCCTCCATGTTCTCCAAACATCCCCATTAACTCCTCTGCCCTTTAACCTCACTGATGCCCAGAAAGGTTAATGAAGGACCTTGCTCAAAGCCTGCAGTGGTGGAAAGAACACTGGCCTTACTCAGACCCAGCAGACCGGAATCTGAATCCAGTCTGCTCACACCCATCTGCCTTGGGAAAGCCCCTCTCCCTCTGTGGGTCTCAGTTTCCTCATCTGCAAAGCAGGGGATGGGCTAGAATAGCCCCAAGGCTCTCTTTTCTACCTTGACTCTAACTGAAGAGCTCGAGGCAGGGATGGATCGGTGTAACGGTGTGTGGCTCAAACCACTGAACATTCAAGGAAATGGCTAAGAAGGGTGCCCCCTCCCCTAGCCCTGTGGTCCCACGGGCACGCTGCCCAGCTGGGGTCCTGCAGAGGCTAGGGCCACCAGCTACTCTCAGTACTCCAGCCTGGCTTTCTCTCAGAGACTATCAGAGGGGGGAAAGACTTTGGATGTCACGTAGGGGCTCGGTGTGGTGGTGGGCAGAGGGCTGGACTAGGGAGTCAGAAGATACTTAGCAGCCGTGGGCCCTGGTCCAGTCGCCCAGCCTTCCTCTCAATCTAGGGCTCTCTCTAAGGTCACACCAAACACAGCCTTGCTGGCTTCATTATTCATTCCTGTGGTGACCTTGAGGAGTGCCAAGTGCCAAGGAAATCCTGTTAGGATTCCAGTGCCTTTTTAGGTCTGCTGACCAGGCCTGAGCTGTGGCCACGCCATGCGTGCTGCCCATGTCGGGCAGTTCTGTCACCTGCAAAGTGAGGGAGTGAAGCCAGACAGTCGCCCACGTCCCTTTGCAGTCAGACAGTCTGAGCAGAATCTACCTTCTGTCGTCCCCAGTTGTCTCAAGGTGAAAAGCTTGGCCACGGGGCGAGCAGGGAGAAAGGAGGAGGGAGGGCAGGGTATGGGAGCAACTAGGAGCAGGTTTGGGAGGCTTAGGTAGTGTCAGTTTAATACAAACATTTTTCTTGGTCTCCTGACAAACTGACGGGGGGTGGGTGGGTAAGAATTTCCCAGGATGGGCAGGTATGGCTGGCTTGTTAACAACCTCAGTGGCAGAAGCATCCACATTTATGAGGATGGAGACCATGAGGACCCACCAGAGATTTGCCAAACCTAACACTCATCCCACAGAGAATGTCGGGCGATGGTCCCTGCTGTGGACTCCCTGGCCCTGTTCTGACCACGCGCAATCTTAGCACTCATTAGCTGGCCCTAAGACATCAGCCCTGGAGCACAGGCCCCCGGGCAGAGGCTGGACATGAGATCCAAGTGTGGAGTCGCCTGACTCCCAGTGCCATGGCATCTAATCCAGGAATCCAGGCGAAGCCTTCTGACCTGTGAGGAATGACCTTGTGCTTCTGTGAAGGGCATGAAGAACAGGGCCCTGTGGAGGGAAGGCATGCCCCTCAGGAGAAAGGCTGAGGCTCTGCCAGGCTCAGGGCAGCACGCCGAGCATTTGGGAAATGAAAGATACCACGGGAAGAGGAACTGCCAGGTGGCAGAACAAAGAAGCGACAAGATGCACCGTGCACAGAACCAACGCCAGGCCCAGCCTCTGTACTCACTGTGGGCCTCCACAAGGTCATTCTGCATGCTGTAGGGCACCAGGGGGTCTGGCAGCTCGGAAAAGAAGCTCTTCATGGCACCTGCCACAGTGTTCACGGTGAAGTCCTTTTCAGCCAGGTCCAGGTTGTGGTCTGCAAAGAAAAAGCACGACCAACTCAAGAGATGTGCAAACACCAACCTTGTACCAAGCTGTCTGAACAAAGGAAAAAGAACACTGCTTGAGAGGAGTGGGACAGGCTCAGTGGTCACCCAGGAAAGTCCCCTCCTGCTCCAGACTTTCAACGATGAGGCCACAGGCAAAGTCTGAGCCGGCCCCACCCCTGCCCCCAGAAAGGGCATGACAGAGCACACCCATTGATCTCTATACAAGTATTGACTAAAATACTGTGTCAGACACAGAGCAAGATGCTGGGAAACAAGGGCAGGGATGAAACAGCCTCTACTTGGGAGGAGCTCACATTCAAAGGGTAAAAACAGGGACCCTCAGGGAATGAAGACCCCAGATGTGAAGGAAAGCCAGGAAGCAGCATGTGCCACCTCCCCTGCACCCTTCTGAAGCAGCTCAGCATCTTGAACCCAAGGGTTCTGCACCGAGCAGCCCCCAGCCCCCAGCCTGGCTCCTGCTGCCAGCAGAGGGAGAAGGGGCCTGCCTTCCTTAGCACCAGCAGCCCCTCACGGCACTGGGCTCAGGTGATGTGAAGGAGACACCTCCTCTGTCTGCCAGCAGAATGTGAGCTCCCTGAGGGCAGGCCCTGTCACCCTAGCACGAGGCACGGTGCTTCAGAAATGTTCACTCATTCAATCTGAGGCAGTGTGGGAAGGAGGGCACTTGCAGCTGGGAGGCTCGGAGGAAAGGTGGGAGTGTTCCCAGGGCCCCACTGGGGATCCTCAGAGCAAAGGCACAGAGATGGGAGCAGGCATGCAGGAGGCAAAGGAAGAGGCCAGTTTTCTGGATGACAGTTCTGCGGATCCTGCTAAAACTCCACCAGTCTTCTGATCCAAGGCCCCAAGGGCTTTCCCCATCATCCCTGGGCCCCAGTTTATCCCGAGGTCACTACAAGTGAGCCCCCTCCATCCTGACTTGTGTCAGTGGGTCAGTTAACTCACGTGGAAAACCCTCCACAGCTCATAGCCTGTGTTATACACACGTCACAAGTCAACCCATGTTTGTGACAAGTTTGCTTTTGAGACTTTTTTGGGGGTGGGGGTGGGGTGGGGAGAGAAACCAGTGTGATCTGTGCCATCCAGCAGCTGCTTAGACCCCAGCTTTCCCCACCTAGTTAACGAGGACTCCACCCATCCTGTCTGTGCCCTGGGGCCACACAGGTCCCCACAAAGTCAGGGAGAGAGGAGACCTCGCAGCTGAGCCCAAGAGACGAGGAAGCAGGTCCGGCAAAGGAAGGTACTGGAAGCACAAGCCAAGGGGAGACTGAGAAAGGCAGCCAGGTGTGCCGGGCTGGGAGGAGCAATGTGACCAGTAGGGCGAGGACAGCTCCTTCCACGAAACTCCACTTGGCATTTATGAAGGGCGAGGCACTGTGCCAGCTTTGCAGATGGACTCCAAGGGCTGACCCGAGGCAGGGAGACAGCTGAGGACACCCAGGATAATCTGGGAGAAGGAGAACATTCACGACCACAGGAGACCACACATGAGCCAAACTATGAGAGGGACAGCCCGGGCAAAGGAAAAGGGAGGACTGCAGGGGATGCACCACGTGGGCCACCCTGGCCCGCCCGCTGCCCCTGCACTTCGGCCTCACCTCCCTGGGCTTCTGCTTTGCTCTAAGACGCAGCTCAGACACCATCTTCTGAGCAAGGCCTTCCTGTTTTTCTCAACTGTTGGTGCCCTCTTCCCAAACGACCCTGTGCCTCTTTGTACATCTTCTCCCCTTGTTCCGTCTACACTCACGTGGGGTGTTTTCACCCCCATCGCCAGAGAAGCTCCTCACAAGCAGGGACGGTCATGCTGTGTGTACTGGCATCCCCAGAGCCTGGCACCAGGCTGGCCCATGGCCAGTCAGCCAACAACAAATGTTTATTAATCATGATGGGCCAGGCAGTGGACTAAACACCGGGGATACGAGAAAGGCCAACAAACGACCAGACGGCGATGACGAGGACAGACACCAAAACCCAGCTTCTACCTTCAAGGAGGCGACACACGAGTGCCTGTGTCTGCCCAAGTCACACCAAAGGGCCTGGGGCTGATGAACAGCCTCGTGCAGAAGGTGGGGTTTTAGTTAAGTCCTGGATGAAGCCAGGAGGAGGAACAAAGTCAGGAGCTGGGGGTCATGTGGGAGGAGGTCAGTGAAGCAAGATGGGGAATGAGGTAGAAGAAGACCGGACAGGAACAAGGACCAGCCTGTGAAGGGCTTTGAAGGCCAAACAAGAGAAGGATGCTGAGTAGGGTGGCAGCTTTAGGAAAATCACTTAAGGCTGACTGACCCAGCAGCAGCTGCTGCAAGGGGGGAAGGGGGCATCACTGAGAGATGTTGGGAAGACAGAAACAACAGACTGGATACGTGGAGTGACCCTGAGGTGGTGAGGCTGGGGGACTGGAAGAAGGAATAGGGAGGTTGGGGACAGGGGAGGATTGGGGGGAGCAGGTTGAACTGGAGAAATCCAAAAGGCCGGAGAGAGATCGGGGTGGATGTTTAGGTCTGGGAATCACCTACCTCCCTAGAAATGATGCTTGAACCTATACCACCTGATGAGATAGCAGAGAGGGAGGACAGGGGAGCATTCAGGGAGAGCCTTTGGGGATGCCCACGGTTAATGGGTACAACTTGAATAAAGGTCCAGCCAAAGAACCTAAAGGACAGGTAGGAAGAAAACCAGCAGAGGGCAGTGAAACCAAAACCTGCAAAGATGAGACTATCTATGCAGGAAAAGAGGGGATCAGTGGCGGCTAAGGCTTCAGGGAGGGCAGGAGAAATCCTCAGGAACTTTGAAAGGCGAATCTCAAAGGATGAACCCCTAAATTCTAAAGAATCAAGAGACAGGAGAGGAAAGAAGTGGGCCCCCTGTGCTGAGAGACACAGGTGGACATCTCTGGGCGTGTGTGGTGCCGATGGCCTGCTCACGGGGCTCCCTCCATCAATCCAGGCCCTGCCAGGGGCTCTAAAGCCTGGAGACTGGAGTGGGGGCTCCTTGGCTTGCCTTTGTCGTCTTAGAAGGAGCTTCCCCTCCAAGTAAGGTTAAGAGGTACCCAATGCTTCTGATAGTCTTGGTCATGTTAATTTGACGTGGGCTAGGCCAAAACTTCTGGGCAACCCTGGAGACCTCAACCTGGAGGAGATCCCGGCCCTCCACAAGATTTCAGTCCGACCACTAGAGATTTCTCAAGGTTCACACGGTGAACACATCACCACTCCTCCATTACCACCAGACAGGCATTGCTGATGTGCCTGGTGAAAGTAGGCTTGTCTGGGTCTGTGGGTCCAAGGCAGAGTCCTCGAGGACGTACACCAAGTGGGCAACATGCCTGCCTCCTGGTGCATGTCCCCTTTGTTGCCTCCTTGGTCCAGGAGCTAGAGCACACTCTGCCCCAGGGAGGACTTCACCATTGTTCTGGTAGGAGAATCTGAGGTCAGGGGGTGCTACAGCCTGGGGAGGGGGATGCCAGGCTTGGGCCTGTTCCAGGCCACACTAGGCCTTGCCCTTGTGCCCCAGCCCCCAGCTAGGCTATCTCTAATTTTACAATGCTTTGAATTGATAAAACCTTACCTTGATCAAACTGTCTCTGAAGGCTCTCCATCTCAGATTTATTTCCGCTCACTCTGTAGATGCCTTCAGTACTCAACCCTGAGGGGAGAAAGTCAATCAATTACTTTAGCATTCCAGAAGCTTGGTGCAGCATGAAGAGTGGTGCATGAGGAGCTGACAAATCAGGTGCACATTACTCTGACCCTTGTTAGGCTGCTCTGACCATGTGCAAATACTGGCTTCTGCCTCAGTTTCCTCCTCTGCAAAACAGGGATACTTCTTGAACTAATTATTTCATAATGTTGTTGTGGGAAAAGAATCTTGTAAACCTTCAAGTACTGACTAGAGAGATGTGAGCTGCTGGAGAGATTGAAAGCAACTTGCACAAGCCACGGTAAAAACCACAGGTAGAAATTCAAATTCACATGGTCTGAGTTTGTGGTTCCTGCTTGAATGGCTAAATCAACCTTCCATGTCCTTTGAGAGGCTCATCACCTGGCTAATGAACACACTCCCACACCCTTCTCCTTCAAGCTGCTAATGCACAAGGCCATCTAATGTGGCTGCCACTGCCCAGAGAAAAGCTCAGCTGCTGCTGGGAGGCTCAGACCCTTTAGTCAATCTACAGTCTCCAAGACACAAGTGTCTCATTTTAGTGATCACTTTTAAGCAGTGCAAAGCATGCATTAGGCAAGATAAAAGCAACCAGCTTGCTTGCTCTGGTGCACTGTGCCCCCTCCCCCAACCAGATTGATGGCAGGTGGGATCTCAAGCACAGACCACTTGTAGACCACAGCAGAAGTCATCAATTGCTTGGCTTAAAAGCTTTTAATTGCTCATGGGACAGGCCTAGTTTCAGAGATTGGTTTCACCCCAGAGTAAACAGGGTTAATGGACCAGCCTAGAGGACAGCATAAGCCACTGGGCCTGACTACAAAGGGTCTAGCTTGCGCTGGGTGCAATGAATGCTGGGTACTTTAAATCCAAATGCTATCAGCCAGCCCTCACACGATCTGGGTTCTTCATTTAGTTCACTATGCAACTGAACGGGAATCCTCCCTCCAACATGTCAGATGGCGACAGGTCTGGCTGTGTTACTCCCCTGTCTCCTCTAAGGCAAATGGCCTGAGCATAACTTTGAGGCTTTGATGAACAACGGCCATGGGGGTCCTTTGCCCCTCTTACACCAGCCCACCCAGCCCACAAGAGGTTCCCAGTCTTTGTGCTGCTTCGTAGTTTCTAGGTTCTGATAAGGCTTAGCACAAGTACCACATCCGTGCATGAGATGCTGCCCCTGCCCCATACCTTCCCAACTAATTTTTATGTATTTTTAAAATGTACTTATCTGTGTTCATGCTGTGCTCCACATCCACAGCCTTACCCCCAAATGCAAAACCCTTGGAGGGCAGTGACAAATGGGCCTGGCTTTGAATTATGGCTCTATTACCTACCGATGAAGAGACCCGTGGCACTTAAACCCTCTACCCTTGTTTGGCCTCAGTTTCCTCCTCCATGAAATGAGGAGTCTGAACTAAAAGACTACCAAGGTCCCAATCAGTGGGTCAGGCTCGTCTTCTTAGTGCTCAGTGTTCCATCTCCAAAATCCTTAAAATGATTTCCCCTTGCCACCCAAATGAAGTCCAAAGAGCTAGAAAGGACCTCAGGTATACAAGCCCCAGAAAAAAATGGAACTCAAGACATCAGCACCAGGGTGCTTTGCCATGGGGTCTATGAACAAAGCGGTGTAATTGACGAGTTCCCCATCTCTGAAGGCAGCTATTCCGCTGTCTCATATAGACCAATGACAGTAGGGAGCTGTGGCCTCGCAAGTCAAAGAATCTGTTCCAGCATCCAGCTCTGAGACACTCTGCTCAGCTTCAGGGCCCTGGGACTGAGCCTACTGACCTGAGGAGTTTTTAGAATCTGCTGCAGATTCATTCAGCTATTTTCCTAATTTACTCCTTCAGGGGGCCGCTAGGTGGGGCAGTGGATAGAGCACCAGCCCTGAAATCAGGAGGACCTGAGTTCAAATCCGGCCTCAGACCTAATTTACTCCTTCATTGTGAGCAAGCTCTTCTTCCACCCACTCCTGTTCCTCTACGGTAGTTACAGCCGAGAGAGGACCAGTCTGGTAACAATCACACCTGACAGACACAGCCCATCACTGGGCTCCCAAATGAGAAGTTGTCCCAGCTTAGCAGCAGTAGCTGCCAGCACCTGCACTCTGTGGGACAACCTACTGGTTCCTGGGAACACCCCTGCACTGTGAGGAGCCCCTGGGGGACCTCCATGGAGCTCTTGTCTACAACAAGGAATACTACATGGCATTTACCATGCTGAATGCTGGTGCTAACAGAAACGTTAAGGATGGATCCACTGCAAGCGATTAAAGAAACTAAAGACAGTCAGGGCGCATCCATAATCGATAACTTTGTGGGATGGGCACCATGGAGAGCAACTACCCCATATTCAATTCATTTTAACAAACACACAAGAAGCAGTGACCGTGTCCAAGGTCCTGTGGGTTGGTTACAAAGACAAATGACAGGGACCCTGCTTCTCAGAAGCTTGCAACCTAAGGGAGGAGGAAGGGGGAGGGGGGGAGGAAAACAAGTACACAAAAAGCCATGATATATGGAGGAAAGAGGGATAAATAAAAAGTTGAGGTCTGGGAAAAAAGCTCTGTGAAAAATGAGACATCTGGGGCAGAGGTGTCAGGGAAGGCTGGACTGGAACAGGGAGCCGTGAGCACAACGGTGCCAGAAGGAGGAGTGTCATTATATGGATACTGGTGCGGCTCATCTGCTCTGGGCAGAAGGAACCAGGCCTTCCAAAGGATTCAGAGTCAAAAGATGTCAAATACTAGCTCTACCATTTACTACTACTTTTATGACCACAGGCAAGTTACTTGATTCTCTGGGCCTCAGTTTCCTCATCTGTAAAATGAAAAAACTTGGACTAAATGATCTTTCTAGCTCTAAAATTCTGCTTTCCTCCTTCATCCACTACTAGACACAGCTGGTGCAGTGGCCAGTTTTGCTCATGTCCTTTTTTTCTTCTTTTTAATGAAATCTGTTACAAGGGATGGCTTGATGGATGGAGGAAGGATGAGGGATATATTTGGACATTAACGTCATGGATGAATGATAGCAATGAAAAGGATTAAAAAAACCTAATGCTTTTCCTAAATGCTCCTGTGCTCTGGCATTCCAAGGCTGCTTCCAGCAACAGTCACCATCTCCCAAAGCTTCTGATCCTAAACTCCCTTTGCCCTGCATCATACAAGATCTCTTCAACTCAATGGCCTAAGGCAAAGATGGCACGTCAAACCACAGGCCTTTTGAACAATAATGTCCAAGTCCTTCGGGTTTTTAAGTCTGAGCTGGGAGTTTCTCAGATACTTCTGCAAGCATTAGTCAATCAGTCTCTGGACAACACTGCTATCAAGTGAAGGAAAATCCAGAATTTCCTTGCAATTAAAAAAAAATAAACATCCCCCAGTATATCTAAGAGTAAACTGGAAACCAGCTGTCAATTAATTATCAGAGGTGTGGTCCTGCCACAACCCTACCAGTTCTGTGATTAAAATCACTGAAGCATGTGAGAATCTAAGTCCCACTTTACAGAAATGATGAATCAGCAACGAAGTATTTCCTTGTAATCTATCCTTCTGTTTATTTTATGAAATCCTACGGCCATTTATGATGGCAACTCAGACCATGGTGCCTAACAACACAGCATAATTTAGGGAGAGGTGTCATTTGCTTGGCCCACACTGTTGTTATAACCACTAATTACATGTCAATTAAGAAACTAAAAACCTCTGTGCAGGTGGCAAAGTTGAACATAGTTGAGAACAGGATGACGACCCAGGGAACACAGACAGCCTTAGCCAAGCACGAGCCATCCGTCTGTCTTGGATCAGGGACAGCTAACGGGCGTGAGATCCCAGAAGGAGCTGCAGGAAAAGCAGTGAGCCCTGCAAGTTCTGTGACAGGAGACTCTGGGCAAAAGCCCTTTCTCCAATGTATTCACCTGTCTAATCGAGAGACAAAACTAAGCGACCTGACTGAGACCCTGGGAAGGAAGGCTGGGGCCAAAAGAGAGCTCAGCAGATGCTGTCAGAGATGAAAAGTCACACAGCCCACACGAGTCTTGTGTCAGGCGGAGAGGCTGTGAAGTGGAAGGAGCACTGGCCTGGGAGCCCACGGAACTGGGCCCACATCTTGGCTCTCTGAGCCCAAGGAGGCCGGACCTGAGCTCGGAGGTGTCACACGCTCCAGACAAAGAAGAGGTGATCAAATGTCCCATGAAATGGGGTTTCTTGATACGTCGGGAGATGTATCTTTGCCTCTCCCAAGAAAACCCATGACTGCATCCTCCCACTTCTCTGTAACATCGTTCTGGCTCTAGCAGGAGAATATCAACAGGGGTGTAGCGGCTGTTTTCCCAACAGTGTGTCCAAGGTCTTTAAGATCATTAAGATACCTATGGTGAACTCAATGTTTAGAGGCCACAGTCTAAAAACCGTGTGATGTAGCACCCTCTGTCACTGTGGAAGCAGAAGGCAGCCCCAGAGGCCTTAAGGCCATGCTTTATGGGCAGCTGTGCCCACGAGACCCACCGACCCACAGCCAACCTATAGCTAAGCCGCTCTTCTTAGCCATGTAGGGCCTTGGATGGCAGGGCCACTGTACTGCTGGGACAGTACCTGAAGCCTTTCCAGCACAGTGTAATTTGCCCAAATTTACTTTCTGGTGGCACAGCCTTTGAGAACACATGGACACTTTCATGCCACGAGGAAGCAAAGCATAGGAGCTTGTAGGGGGAAAATAATTCAGTGACAGATACTTCTTGGGGAGGCTGAGAACAGTCAGCTCCTGCCTTGGTGCACCAAGCTGCCACAAATTTTCTGAGATGCACACATAAATCTCAAAAGGAAGGTGCAGGCGGATGGATAATTCAATACACAATGGGAGGAAGGCTATGTAGATTACAGGGTTCAAATTCCACCCAGGATTGATGTTATACAGAGTCAGGCTTCCTCTTACGGCTCTGTTAGTATCAGAGTCTAGTCTCAGAGAAGGTTTATCACTGAG